ACGGTCACATGACTTCACGTTACCACCACTAAGCTAAAGGTGGCTAATGTTGGGCTATAAAGGAACTACAGCTCGGTCACATGACTTCACGTCACCACCGCTAAGCTAAAGGCGGCTAATGTTGGGCTATAAAGGAACTACAGCTCGGTCACATGACTTCACATCACCACCGCTAAACTAAAGGAGGCTAATGTTGGGCTATAAAGGAACTACAGCACGGTCACATGACTTCACATCACCACCGCTAAGCTAAAGGAGGCTAATGTTGGGCTATAAAGGAACTACAGCACGGTCACATGACTTCACATCACCACCGCTAAGCTAAAGGTGGCTAATGTTGGGCTATAAAGGAACTACAGCACGGTCACATGACTTCACATCACCACCACTAAGCTAAAGGTGGCTAATGTTGGGCTATAAAGGAACTACAGCACGGTCACATGACTTCACGTCACCACCTCTAAGCTAAAGGTGGCTAATGTTGGGCTATAAAGGAACTACAGCACGGTCACATGACTTCACGTCACCACCGCTAAGCTAAAGGAGGCTAATGTTGGGCGTGATGACATTTAGTCATCTCATTTAGACACTTGTTAGCAACCTCCGACTGACGTAGTTTATGTTGTATCTGGGTTAATCTTGTAGTCAAATATATATAAATCAGGGATAGAGAGACACATTTTCTTTGCAGGAAGCTTGGGTTCCGACTTCGAGATGGACCTCCCTAGAGGATCCCTGTGTCTGCGAGGGTCCGCTATTGTCCTCAAATAACATTTGTTCCTGACTTCAGTCCAGTTGTTAGCGTATTAATTTATAGCTTGTTTTTTTGAGGAGAGGTTGCATTAGGAGATTGAATGAATGTAATTATTCCTGAAAAGAAAACAAAGGACAGCAAAAACTCCTTGGACACCACTTAATGTAGAGAACCAGACTGATGTACACTCATTTGTAGTAACCATTGAATCACTTGCAATTGGACTCACTCACAGAAAGTGAGTACAAACCTTTAACCTGTTAAGCACTGAGCCTGTTTTTCAGGTCTCAGGCTCGAAAATGACATTCCCAGAACAAATGACCATATCTTCCTTTCTAAAAGGGTTAAATTAATAATCTTTTTTCTCAAAGTAATGGTAAACCTGTGAGTTGGATGTAGAAGTGTCAGAATCAATATAGATGTTTTTTATTTTAAAGAAAATTCAGATTTTACATAGTAAAAAACTGTAAATGATAGTGTCCGTCCAAAAATTATTTTTTACTTATAGTGAAAACTACCCTTGGATGATGGGCTAGTAGACTAAAAGCTTCAGGAATCCAAAGTACAACATATAATAAGTACCCTGTATCAAGATTGATGCAAAACAAGTGACATTTGACCTTTTTAGAGAGGTTTAGCCAAAACCACTCCACCTCTGAGGTGATTTGGTCGATTTGGATGGTTGACACCTCTTTCTGACCGTTAGAGCCAATAGAATCGAAGGGGGAGGCCCCCACACACACACGTTGTGAAGAGAAGAGGTGGAGGCTTCGCGCATGTAATTTTGCAGCAGAGTGGACCGATCTCTCGCTCTGACATTTGGAAACGAAATAGCAGTTTTATTTCTTATTGATTATCAGAAATAATTTCAAAGAGGACACAGACACATAGGATGAACCTATGGATTAACTGCAGCATCGTTTTTTATCGTTTTAATGCCATTGAAGACCAGTTTTGACCAAGGTAAGCCATGTTAGCGTTTCTAGCTACCTAGCTCCACATGTTATGATGTACGCTTTCGTTTATAGCGTCGCAAATGTTTATCACTGAGTGTTGAGGTGGGCACCCCTAGATTCTGTGTCTCCAGGAGATGCTAATCGATGGGTTGGCTGTGCATCTAGGATAAGTAATAAGGGAGTTAGGAGTGAGTTTAGGTACAGTGATAGGTTACATTTTTTCGCTCGTGGCTAATTCAGAGGCTGAGTGTTAGCATTGTGGGGTTTTTTTGGAGAAAAAAAATTAAAAAGATCAGTTAGCTGAGTTTTTTCCCGTTACATGGATATAAAACATTCATAGTTTATTAAATATTAAGATTCCTTAGACGTTGTTTCCTGCAAATGACGCGTTTATCCGCCCGGTTCCGGGGGGCGGTGCGTAACAGGTTAAAGATCCACACTCCACTTAGAACAACTTTAGCCTCTAGGGATCCCAAACAGAATCTGTAACAGGGAACAAGATGGGGGAAACCTTAAGCTTAACTTCCTGCTAAGAGTACCAACACAACTCTCAGAGTAGTTACTAAAGGGCTGATAGTAAATGCCCAGTATCCGATGACTGCGCCCTGCACCCCCCTCTTCAATCATAAAGCTTCTCTCACAGTCAGGTTTTTTGCATTTGCAAGCACAGAAGCAGCAGTCACATGATACCTATCTGCTGCTTTAGCAGTCGGATGACCTGTTTTACCAGCAGGCTCTTTGGTTGCCAACAAGCAGCAAATTATATTTTAACCTGTTAAGCCCGAGAGACCCCGGTACCGGGGCACTCCCGCAACATCTTGCAGGAAACAGTGTCTGAGGGCATGTTCATTTAATAAACTATGAATGTTTTATATCCATGTAACGGGAAGAAACTCATCTAACTGATCATTTTTATTTATTTTTCAAAATAAAACCCACAATGCTAACACTGAGCCTCTGAATTAGCAACGAGCGAAAAATGCTAACACCTTACTGCACCGAAATTCACTCACAAAACCTTATTATTTATCTCTTCTCTACATCCATGACATCGTTTCACATCGTGAGGTGACACAGAATCGATGGGTACATACATTATCACTCAATGATACGAACTCGCGACTTTATAAACAAAAACAGACATCAAAACATGTGGCGCTAGGTAGCTAAAAACGCTAACATGGCTTACCTGTGTCGTAGTCTGGTCAAAAGTGGTCTTCAATGGCATTAAAACGATAAAAACGCTGCTGAAGTTAATCCATAGGTTAATCCAATGTGTCTGTGTCACTTTGAAATGATTTCTGATAATCCATAAGCATTAAAACTGCTTTTCCGTTTCCAGATGTCAGAGCTAGAGTATAGGTTCGCTCTGATGCAAAACTGCATGCGCGAAGCCCCCACCTTTTTTTTACCATGTGTGTGAGAGGGGAGATTCCCCTTCGATTCTATTGGCTCTAACGGTCAGAAAGAGATGTCAATCAACAAAATCGACCAATGGGTTCCAGAGAAACGGTAAAACCCCCATTTCCACCCAAATCACCTCAGAGGTGGAGTTTTTTTTGCTAAATCTCTCTAAAAAGGTCAAATGTCACTTGTTTTGCATCAATCTTGATACAGGGTACTTATTATATGTTGTACTTTGGATTCCTAAAGCTTTTAGTCTACCTTACCATCATCCAAGGGTAATTTTCACTATAAGTAAAAAATAATCTTTGGACGGACACTATAATTTACAGTTTTTTACTATGTTCAATCTGAATTTTCTTTAAAATAAAAAACATCTATATTGTTCTGACTTTTCTACATCCAACTCACAGGTTTATCATTACTTTGAGAGAAAAGATTATTAATTTAACCCTTTTAGAAGTGAAGATATGGTCATTTGTTCTGGGAATGTCATTTTCGAGCCTGAGACCTGAAAAACAGGCTCAGGGCTCAACAGGTTAAGAGCTCCATGAAGGTTAGAATGCTCTTTGCTTTATCCATAAAATGACATAACACCAGTAAATCATTAACTTTTAGAGGTGTAGTACGGGTTGTTGTGAACTTTGGAAAGAGACACACCTGTTCAAGAGGTGAAGCAACAGCCTGAGATAAACCAAAGTAATTCTCCCTCACTGCAGAGAGACAGACGGACTGAAAAACAAACGATCAGATTCACCTTCAGACCAAACTAACAACTTCCTCTGAGTTCAGCTACAGGAGAGAAAAGTGGAAACTACAACACTGCTGCTTCAACCCTTAAAATCTGAGGTCCCTGGTTCTTAGCAGGAAACCAATGGACTGTCTTCTTCCTACTCTCATCATAAAGGGGGGTCAGGACCTAAAGAACCAGATCTACCATCTTCATCCTACCCTCATCATAAAGGGGGGGTCAGGACCTAAAGAACCAGATCTACCATCTTCATCCTACCCTTATCATAAAGGGGGGCCAGGACCTAAAGAACCAGATCTACCATCTTCATCCTACCATCATCATAAAGGGGGGGGGGGGGGGGGGGGGGGGGGGGGGGGGGGGGTCAGGACCTAAAGAACCAGCTATACCATCTTCATCCTACCCTAATCACAAAGGGGGGCCAGGACCTAAAGAATCAGATCTACCATCTTCATCCTACCCTCATCATAAAGGGGGGGGGGGGGGGGTCAGGACCTAAAGAACCAGCTATACCATCTTCATCCTACCCTCATCATAAAGGGGGGCCAGGACCTAAAGAACCAGATCTACCATCTTCATCCTACCCTTATCATAAAGGGGGGTCAGGACCTAAAGAACCAGATCTACCATCTTCATCCTACCCTTATCATAAAGGGGGTCAGGACCTAAAGAATCAGATCTACCATCTTGATTCTACCCTTATCATAAAGGGGGTCAGGACCTAAAGAATCAGATCTACCATCTTGATTCTACCCTTATCATAAAGGGGGGTCAGGACCTAAAGAATCAGATCTACCATCTTGATTCTACCCTTATCATAAAGGGGGGTCAGGACCTAAAGAATCAGATCTACCATCTTGATTCTACCCTTATCATAAAGGGGGTCAGGACCTAAAGAACCAGATCTACCATCTTGATTCTACCCTTATCATAAAGGGGGTCAGGACCTAAAGAATCAGATCTACCATCTTCATCCTACCCTCATTAATCCATCTTCCACTCACTCATCCACCCTGATGTACCCTTCACCCATTCACACCATTGTGTACCTTGTACGGAGACCTTGAGAGCCTTGAAAGGCGCCTTTATAAATAAAATGTATTATTATTCGTATTATTCATCCGGTGGTTCTTACCTTTTCTGCAGACTGCGCCGTGCCGAAGAAGATGGGGATGAAGGCCAGCCACACGATGCAGGTGGTGTACATGGTGAACCCGATGGGCTTGGCCTCGTTAAAGTTCTCCGGGACCCCGCGGGTCTTTATAGCGTAAACAGTACACGTCACCATCAATAGGATACTGTAACCCAACGAGCAGATGATCTGGAGATCCGTGATGTCACACTTCAACACGCCGCGAGCCTTAAACGGGTTGAAGGTCTTCTGCTCCTCGTAGTCTATGATGGTGTTGGGCGGATCCACTATGAACCAGATGAAAACCCCCATCAGCTGCACAGAGATGAGGATGGAGGTGATGGCCAGCTGTGAGGTGGGGCTGATCAGCCGGGGCGCCGTCACCGACTTCTTGCCTTGCTCAAAGATCCGGTATATACGGTTGGTTTTGGTGAGGAGGGCGGCGTAACTGATGCACATACCCAGCCCCAGGAAGATCCGTCTGAACGAACACACGCCCACGTCCGGCTTGGCGATCATGAGGAAGGTGATGATGTAACACAGGAAGATCCCTATGAGCAGGACGTAGCTCAGCTCTCTGCCGGACGCACGGACGATCGGTGTGTCGTTGTACCGGACGAACGTGGCCATGACGAGGATGGTGGCGGTGATGCCGATCATGGCGAGTAACACGGGGATCACGGCCCAGGGGGAGCTCCACTCCATCTTGGTGATGGGGATTGGCTGGCAGGCGGTGCGGTTGGCATTGGGCCTCATGTTGTAGGAGCACAGCTTGCAGGTGAACTCGTCGTACTGGTACTGGTATCCGTCGCAGGGCTCACAGTGCCAGCAGCACGGCATGCCCTTCACCACCTTCTTCCTCTCGCCCGCCTTACAGGGGAGGCTGCAGACGGAGCTGGGGACGTCCTGCTCCCCCCGAGGCCACTGCATGTCCTCCATCTGCAGAGACAACACGAGGGACGGTTACATCAGAGATTGACAAGATTATTAAAGGTCTCCTATTCTACTATTTTTCTATATTTAACTTTACGAGGTAAAGTTAAATATCTTGAAACGTGTTATTTCTTAGGAAGAAAATATAATTATACATGAACGTATTATTAATATTAAAAGGAAAGTAAGCATAAAAAAAAAAACTTCCACACTTCATTAGGATTAACATGTTTATTTTATATTACAAGTTTTCTGACAGGTTATAAAATATGCTAACGAGGCTTTTGTGTTGCCAACTGTTGGTGAGTTTAGGAGAAATCTGCAGACGAAAATAAATGTGGATTTAGATTTTTTTATTTCCAATAATCTGAAGTAATACATGTTGTTGAATCTGAATATAGATGTATGATAACACATGTTGTAGTCCGTAATGTCTCGCATTAAAATTGCATTCTCTGTATCTTGAACCCTCAGTGAAGGGAAGCAGGTTTTATTTGACTCTAATATGGAGCGTGGATTCCTCTCACACTGTAAAACCTCACGGTGGAAGCAGCTTTAATTAATGCTGATAAATGAGCTGTGAGCTTCTGGTTCCTCAGGTTTCTCCTGCCATTAAACAAGAGCTTCTGGTCTCTTCCTGAAGCTAAATGTCTCATTGATCTGACAGCTTGGCTGCTGCTAATGAGTAATGAATACTCTATTAGAGCCACATCAATACAGATGAATCCCACATGGATCATAGCTCTGAGGTCTTAGTTATCTGGGATTCCCCCTCAGTACAGCAGATCCCTCTGAAGCTGGAGAATCGCTGCTCATCGTTGAACCAAATCAAGGTCCATCTACTCTGTGTTTTCAATGAGAGCTGCCGGTCTGCTTGAAGAAATACGTCAACATGTTTTTATAATGACTCTCACTTCTGAACACAGGTCCACACTGTCTGACCAGAGGGGGTTACATAATAATAATCATTTCATTTATGAGAGCCACTAATTAGTGGAAAGCTAACAGTTGATAGCCAACTGGCTAACCAGCACACTGACAGGTTAACTGGTTAACTTGTTTTCCAAATGTCAGCACTGTGGACCCCTTTCTTCTGGCAGTGAGAGTTATTCTAAACATGAGCTTTAGACTGCAGCCCAACCGGCCCATATGTTCTCACTTTTTTACCAACATTTTGACTTTTTCTGAAAATTCCTTTTGATTTTGTTGACTTTTTTCCAAAATGTCTGAATTTTTCTGAAAATCTTAAAATTCTTACTTTTTTTCTTAACATTCTGACTTAATTCTCATGCTGCGTTCACACCGGACGCGATGCGAATATTCGCATCGCTCCAATCGCTCAAGTTTCACCGCGGCTTGCAGTTTGTTTTATCGCGTCATTCAAAACAGACATACCGTTGACGCGCCGCGCCGTTGACGGACAGTTGAGGTTGTTTACACTTCCATGCAAGATCGTTTTGGTTATTTCTGTCGTTGACTATGGAGGATATAACAACTATTGCTGCTTTGTACCTTCTGTGGAAGTCCTACAAACGTAGCAACAAACGCCGTCGTGTCTGGGTTCTTATTGTCCTCCAATCCAGCACCTTTTTGTTGCGGTCCCGATAGATATACAACATTGTATCGTAAATCTCCGGGAACCCACTCACAGCCACAACGATCATCTCTTCTATCTTTACAACTGATCAACAGCAGGACGTCAGAGGGACGTCAGAGGGAATCCCAACGCTGATTGGCTTTCGCGAGAACGCTTCACGTGAATTTGACGCTCGAGATGAAAAAATGTAACTCTCGTGTTTGACGCGGCCCCCTTCAATCGCCTCAATCGCGTGATTTGCGCCGCGTCCACCGCTTCATGCACGCCGTCGGAGCGAATTTGCGTCCGTCCGCATCTCTGCATTGACTTTACATGTAATCGCGCCGCCCCCAAAAATCGCATCGCGTCCGGTGTGAACGCAGCATCACAATCACAAAATGTGGAATTCTTTTTTTAACTGAATATTTTGACTTTTTTCAAAAATTCTGTTTGTTTCTCAAAATCGTAAAAAAAATCCCAAATCTCAAAAAATTGAATTTGATCAGAATTCTGACTTTTTCTGTACATTTTTGGCGCAGTTCCACTACAGCGCGGAGCTCGCTTTAAGCGTGCCGTGTCGTGCCGTACCCGTTTTTGGTTGCGCTTCCACTAGGCCTAGTTACGGCCCGGCCCGGCCCGGGGCCACTTTTTCACCTCTTTTCTGGCCCGACAAAATTGTGGTTCTATCGGGGCCAACAAACAGGGCTGAGTCGGGCTGAGTATGCTAAACTAGAGAGAGGATCGCTGGCAAGGAGGCTACAACTACAACAAGATGGACATATTTGACCGTGATTTAATTGTAATACACGTTTCAAAATGATGAAGTAACAACATACTGATACCGGTTAGTAAAAACCATGAATTAATGCTTTGTCAAGTCTGCAGACAGACGGCAGGCGAAACACCTTTTAAAATGCGTGTTTTCTAAATGGAGATTAGCTAAGCTAACGCAGTATATGCCCCGACCGTCCACACTCACAACAACGGCCTATACAGACATAAATAAAGCAGCGACTGTATTCACCATGACACAGACAGTCTGTGGTTTGTACTTGTTTAACTTTTGTCTAGTTTCTGAACATATATGAGGAGCTGTGAGCTCTGAGTGCTAACAGCTAACGGCTGTGTTGTTTTTCTGGAGTTCTCATTGAAGATGACGTCACGGCTCCGCCTACACTGCGTTACTATAGTTACTACCCCAGTTCCTAAACTGTAATGGAAGCGCAGCATGAAGTGAGTCGGCCCTGTTAAGGCCAAGCCGTACCGAGCCGTACCGAGCGTGGCCGAGGCCGACCGTGTAGTGGAAATGCGCCATTTGACTTTTTTTCACAAAATTCTGAACTTTTCTCAAAATCTAAATTTTTTTAACCAAAATTATGAATTTGTTCTCAAAATTATGACTTTTTCACAAAATCTCAAAATTATGACTTTTTTCTCAAAATTCTACGTTTCTTTCTCTAAATTATGACAACATTTTGACTTTTTTCCCAAAAAATAAACATTTTGACTTTTTTCCCAAAAAATAAACATTTTGACTTTTTTCCCAAAAAATAAACATTTTGACTTTTTTCACAAAAAATAAACATTTTGACTTTTTTCACAAAAAATAAACATTTTGACTTTTTTCTCAAACCTTAGGTTTTTATCTGGCAATTCTGACTTATTTTTTTTAAATCAACCTTTGTCTTCTGGCAGTGAGAGTTACTACAAACTGTCCACATGAGCTTTCGTCTAATAACTTTGAAAATGATATCATGTGGGATGTTCACTTTAGCACACATTTCGAAATACCTTATTTGAGAACTTCTATAGATACCAATTATACATCTATTAGATGTTCTAAACATGTATTGCCAATCGATACTAGGTCAGAAAATATTGCCCGATTTAACGCAACGTCCGGTCTTCTTTCCAAATAGATAAACAGATAACGTGTCTCTGCACCTCTTCTGATTTGTACTTTCGGATGATAAACCCTTCTAATAGCTGCATATAAACACTGCCACACTACGAGAAAGCAATAAATAAGAGCTGAAGTGCACAAAGACTCTTCAATAAATCACCAGAACCGGCCCGGCGATGGTCAGAAAACGGTTCCGGTGTTTTGCTGCTGATGCTCTGGCAGATAGCCGCTCTCTGTTTAAAGAGATTTAAAGGCACTTGGAGGGATTTCAAATGCTTCTGTGACCCGGAGCCGATCAATTTCAGCGCAGTAAGGACATCTTCAAACAGATTATCCACAAAGGCCAATCCTCCATCACTCTGTGGTTCCAGCAGCCCGGAGAAAAACCTAAAAAACTGCTGCTGGATGTTATCGCCTCCCACCATCATCCAGACTCTCCCTGGGGACGATAACTTGGGATCGTCGGGGATAAAAAGCTGCATCCATCGAGCAGCCGGAGGCCGTATCGCTGAGGTTCAGCAGCACGACAAGAAGGAACACTGCAAACAGACCCTTTAACCAGAGAGGTTCAAAGTTCCTTTACTCAAGTAGTACTCAGGGTACAACGGGGCGGCACTATATTAAAAATATCTGCAGAGTCACACAAACACAATTCATCTCACACAGTTCATTTAGTCTCTGTAAGGACGGACCATGCATCTTTATTAACAGCAACACAGTTGAGACTAAAGCTGTTTGTATCTCAGAGTACAGAGGGGCTCTCTGCAGAAACACTGACCCATGATGTCTCTGCAAACAAAAGCTCTGTTAAGAAAACTGCAATTTAAAACAAATGAGGTTTCGAGTATTTTCACAGATAATGTGTTTCTACTCTGCAAGAAAATAATGTCTGAGAGTCACAACAGGAAAAAGCTTTTTGATGCCGTCTCCTGATCATTTGTGCGCGTGTTGCAAGCCTTTCTGTACACATTTACCCACGTCTGTATGTATGTATGTATGTATATGTGTATATGCATTTGTGTATTTTCATGTCTCTTTGACAGGTGCGTTAATGATCCTGTCAGATGGTGTGTGTGTGTGTGTGTGTGTGTGTGTGTGTGTGTGTGTGTGTGTGTGTGTGTGTGTGTGCGCGTGCGTGTGTGTGTGTGCAGCGACATTATGGAGGCGGCTGAAGGAACATCAACGTTTGTAATCAGATTAATTTCTGTTTGCTCTTATTATAATAAGATGTCGTGCAGGTTAATAAAGCAGTGACTTCTTTCTGACAGAGTTTTCATGTTTTCACTCCAACCCACAGATCTAACCTGATATCACATTCAAATCAACCTCTGGTGGCCGGCAGGGGCCAATACAACTCATTGACTATGCTTTCAGTGAGAAACCTGAGGAACATGTAGAGAAAAGAGCTTCCTCTTCGTCACTCTTCATCACCCTCCTTCTCCTCCTCCTCCTCCTGAACACAGAGGCCGATCTGAACATGTTGGAGGAGACAGATGAGTTTTAATTTTCTCACTTTGTCTTCGTCTG